CAAATTCTAATTATATAATATTTATAAAATTAATATAGAATAAAACAACAATAAAGTGAGAGAGATAGAGAGAAAAAGAGCATAAGATGGTGGAGTTCCCTAGAACTAGTGTACATGTTCTTATAAAGTCTGGAACATATACATTAGAAAAGCTAGAAAAGTTTCTATCCACTAATGTAAAGTACCACCCATATGAATACAATGCATGAAGTAATGAAATAAATAAATGAATGAATATAAAAAGCAATTTATTTATTCAATTATTTGATAATATATAATAGAGTCAAACTCTTTAGACAAGAAAGGTGGCTAGGCTCTACCATAATAAACCTGGATTTTTAATCCTACCATCTAATATAGATTCAAATATACTTGATTATGGTCTTCAAACTCCAATTCTTCTATATAATTGCAAAATAGTGCATTCTCCAAATTAAAGAATATCATATTTTGGATCCTTATTTGTATATGTATAAGAAAGTATATTTAAATCTTTTATAAGTCAAGATAATGTATAACTCGATCTATATACATTTTACTTTTATAATGACTTATACATGTATACATCATTCAACTAACAATTAATGCCACAAAAATAGTCCAATGCATTAACCAAGGTTTTCCTAGAGTTTTCCTAGAGAGAGCCATTTTCCTAGAGAGAGAGAGGGAGCCATTTTCCTAGAGAGATAAAAGTTCCAAATTTTGATTTCCTTATTGATTGGCAGCTTCAACGAAGAAGATGATTGGCCAGGTGGCTACCATCTTAGGTGGTCGGACAATGGCCAGCCTAAATTGTGTTTAATCAATGTTTTAGCAAGAATTGCCTATTTCGGATTGATGGAGTAATCAGAAAATTCTTGCCAATGGACCTTTTGGTTATGAGAGAACCAAGTGAAGATCTGATGAAAGTTTCATCTCTAATTATTGGTAAAGGAAAGCAAGTGGCAACTAATTTAAATGTGGAAACGCCTTACTCAATGGTGGAATTTAAATCAAATGATATTGAATCCTCATCATCTGGTATGAATATCTTTGTTAACACGTTTAGAAATAATGTCAATCTATCAAAGAGAGACCCTTCAGTTCAAAATATGGGTGCAAGCACATCTGCTGTTCATGAGAATGTCCAAACGAATATAGAAGGATTGATTTATGATCCGGTAAAAATTGGACATAATCCATGGACAAAACATCCTTACATCAAGTTGAATTTGCCAAAGGGAGACTCGTTCATGTCAGATGATGGCAAGGAAATTAAGTTGTATGAACCAAAGATGATTGAGAATATTGAGAAACTCCAAAAATCCATTATGGTGAAGGTATTTGGTAAAGCAATTCCAGTTCAGATAATAGCTGCAGAATTGAGACATCAGTGGTCTCCATTTGGGAAATTTCATATCACTATTCTTGGCTCTAGTTGGATGTTGTGTTCTTTCTTCTCAACAGATTCTATGGAAAAGGTGATTTCTGGAGGGCCATGGTTCGTAAATGGCCATATTATTGGGCTTGATAAATGGAATCCAAAATTTTCAACTACATTTTTGAAGGGTCTAACATCTCCTGTGTGGGTGAGATTTTTGAATCTTCCACTTTATTGTTGGGACAAAATTAATGTTGCCAGGACTACTTCATTAATTGGAACTCCTATGTTAATCGATAGTGATATGTTCTAATGGGGAAGAAGGGAGTTCGCAAGAGTTTGCATTTATTTGGAGTTAGATAAATAATTTCCTATGGGTGTTTGGGTGGATGGGCTTGATGGAAAATTCTTCCAAAAAGTTGAGTATGAAAATCTCAACCTTTTTCTACAAGTGTGGAAGGATAGGTTACCTAAGCAATATTTGCAATGCAAAGGATGGTTTAGATAATAATTTTTCTTCTCCTGTTTCTACAGAAGTAGGTTTAGGATTATCAGTGGTGAGTGATCCTAAGGTAGAAACAAATTATGGATCGTGAGTTCATCTTAATAATAAAAGAAGAAGGAGGGTAAATGTTAATTACCAAAAGAAGAATATGGAGATTAATAAAGGGCTAAAGGCTGGATTGGCTACTAATAAAACCTTAACTCCAGTTATTTTGGAAGAACAAGTGACTGATTTGGGATTACAGCTGGAAGTTGAAATTATATAGGAGGATGCAGTTGCAAATTTTGATGTTGGAACTCAAAATATTAAGGGAATTGTTGTTGGGAATTCTGGAGACTTAACAAGGAGCTCTACAGCTAAAATTGGTAAGAATTCTTTTTCTAATATTGTGACTTTTCCAGTTCAAGAGAACATGTTCAAATAGCTGGAAATAAAGGTTGAAGGAGACAATTTAGCAGAAAAAACTGAGTTGATTATCTCGGCTGAACCAGATTTGGAAGAAGGAGAATTTTGAAAAAATGATGAAATCAGCAATGTACTTACTATAGTTCCTATATACAATGATATCAAGATTAAAGATGTTCCCAAAGACATGGGGAATATTTATGTTGAAAAGGTTAATCCTGGATCTCAAAAACTGAAACTTCTGAAAGAACTAAAGCATCTTGGCCCCTTGAGAAATTCATCTAGAACCAAAAAAATTGAGGTATTGATTAAAGGTAGGAGCGGGGGTCCTTCTTCCTCTTTATCCAAATGACTTCCTTAGCTTTTTGGAATTGTAGGGGGGCTAACAAGAGTGAAGCCTTTCTTTATTTAAAAGAATTTGTTAAAGATTGGGATGTGTTTTTTGTTGGTACGGTAGAGACAAAAATATCTTCTTTTGAGAGATGAAATTAATAAATTTTTGGGTGAAAATTGGGATTTTTTCTTATATCCTTCTGACAATTATTCTAGAGGAATTATGATCTTATGGAAATCTAATTTGGCTACATTCTCTTTACTGGATGCTTCACCCCAATGTGTAATTGGGGAGTTGAATATTTTCGATAAAGGAACTTGGATGGTTTCAATGGTGTATGGCAACAAAAACTTGCATATGAGAAGGAGTTTGTGGGAAAAAATCAAAGTGAAATGTGATAAGGAGATCCCTTTGATTGTGGGGGGAGATTTTAATTGTATATTATTGCAAGAAGAAAAGAGGGTTGGGAAGAAGTTCTCCTTCTCTCAAGGGCCACAAGAGATGACAGTGTTCATGACTAGGAATGGTCTTCATGATGTTGGTTTGGTGGGGAAAAATTTTACCTGGTGCAACAACAAAATCGAGAATGCTCATATTCTTAGAAGGCTTGATAGATGTCTTTTGAACACTACAACATTGAATGAGATCCATAATGCTGCGGTCAAACATTTGGTAAGGATTGCATATGATCATTGCCCTTTAATTCTCATAATTTTCAAAGAAAAAATTCATGAAAATAGATTCCTTAGGTATGAAGATGTTTGGGCTTCTTTTCCAAATTCAAAGGAAATTGTTCTAAAGACTTGGAACAAACTGGTTGGAGGTGATGCAATGAATGTTCTTAATGTTAAATGCAAAAGGGTTTTGAGAGCTCTACAATTTTGGAGCAAAGCAAAACTTAAAAATTTTTATGGAGCTTAAAGATTGGCTGAAGAATGATATCTATACTCTTCAGTTTGAAGATTAAAATGGCCAAGGTTTATCTAGTGAAAAGCTGATGTTGTTGACATCCAAAACCCATGAATTCAATGTGACAATGTCACGGTTAAACACATGGTGGAGATAAAGAGCTAAGGTGAAGTGGATTAAGGAGAATGACATGAATTCAAAGTTCTTCCATTCTTTTGCTAATTGAAGAAGAATTGGGAACATAATTTGCCAACTTAGAAATGATGAAGGGAATTTGGTAGAGGAGTAGTCTGAAATTCAAGAAGCCATGATGGATTTCTTCAGCAAAAAATGGAAGAGTAGGGATTGTTTCTTCGATGGATGGCCTCCAATTTTGAAGTCATTATCTGAATAATATTGCAACAACTAGAAGCTGAATTCACATTTCTAGAATTGGAATTTATTATTAAAAATATTTGTAGTAATATTTCTCCTGGATTATATGGCATTACCTACTCATTTTTTAAGAATTACTGGAGCATAATATGTAATGAAGTTTGGCTTGTAGTATAGCAATTTCTATTGACAGTGAAGCTTTGTCCTAAGTGGAAAGAATCTTTGGTGGTTCTCATTCCTAATGTGCTGAATCTAGTTAATCCTTAAAGTTTCTGTCCAGTCAGTCTTTGTGGTTCTTTCTATAAAATTATAGCCAAAATGTTGTTGAATAGGCTATTGAAGGTTGTTAATGGGCTAATTTTAGAAGTTCAAGCTACTTTTATCATAGGTAGATCCTTATCTAATCATGTATTGTTAGCTCAAGAACTTTTTAATAAACTAAGGCTTTCGATATCAAAGAAAGGTTTGGTGGCTATCAAGTTATATATGGAGCAAGCTTATGATAGTATGGCTTGGGAAACTTTGAGAAAGGTATTGGATTGTTTTGGATTTCCAATCAAATTTCTAGTCTTTTAATGGAATGTGTGGAAAATTCAAAATTTTTTATTATGATCAATGGTAGAATTTCAAAGGGGATCAAAGCTAAAAGCAGATTTAGACAAGGTTTCCCACTATCTCCTTACTTGTTTATCTTTGTTCTCAACTTTTGACAGATGATTTGTTTCAAAGAGGAAAGAATTTGGGGATAAAATTGCTTCCAATGCCCCTAGAATTTTGCATTTATTATATGTGGATGATATTCTCTTATTTTCTGAAGCCAAGATGAAGTTTATGAAGAAATTTAGAAGAATTATATTTACTTTTTGTAGCTGGATTGGACAGTGTGTCAATGATTAGAAATCTCTTATTTTGTTTGGGAAATCTATGAAAAGGAAAAGAAGGAAAGCAATATCAAAGTTATGGGGCTATAAAATAGTGAATGCATTGAACTATCTTGGGATTAAGATGGTGTTGAGAAGGTTGGTTGCTTTAGATTTCAATGGTATCCCAGAGAAAGCTGCTACTAAACTAAATATATGGGGCAACAGATTTATTTCTCTAGCTGGAAGATTTGTATTGGTAAAATTGATCATTGCTACCTTATCAATTTTTATTACTGCTCACTCTTTAATACCAATGAGTATTCTAAAAGATTTTAAAAGGCTTGTAGTAGTTTTATTTGGGACAAGCAAGAAGGGAATCACGGTTTGCACTGCATTGCTTGGGAGGATTTGTGCAAATCGTGGAAGGATGGAGGTCAAGGAGTTCATTCGGCAGTTTCAATAGCTGGACCATTGAGAGCTAACTTTTCCAAGAGTTTTTTAAGGAGAGAAGATTTTATGCTTAATAAATCTTTAATGGCAAAGTATGGTGCTAATTTATGGGAGGCTTCTAGCAAGTGCAATAGATCAACAACTTGGAATATTTTATCTAATGGAGCTCAATTCCTTCATCTAATTACTAAATGGAAGATTGCAGCAGGTAAATCTATTAACATCTTGAAAGATGTATGGATTTTAGATAAAATTCTGGATAGATGGCCAACCTTTATTGCAATCGTGAACTTTGATTTTCCTTCACTCGATTACTTTATAATTAATGGTAATTGGAATAAGGAACATCTTAAAGAATTTTTGGGAATTCCCTAGTGGATGTTATTCTTCAAATTCAAGTTTCTTCTAATCAAAGAGATGATTGCATTGAATTGAGGCATAAATTCTCGAGAAAAAGTATCACAGCTTTGGCTTCTTATTCTAGTGATGATGAGATCATGGTGGTGGATTATGGAAACTGGTTAAAAAAGATGCACCTTAATCCTAGAGTGGAATGCTTTTGGTGGCGGCTTTTCAATAACGCAATCCCAACAAATGTCTTTTTAACATATCGAAGGATGTTGGGACATAATTTATGTCCTAGAGGATGTAATGAAGAGGAAAATTTTGAATAAGTAATGGTGCATTGTTCAAAGCTACTTCAAGTCATTGATTTTCTAAAGAAATGGGGTTTTCGGGTACTAGTTCTTTCTTCAATCAGAGAATGCAAAATCAACCTAGAATGGATATCTATGGATAATAAGTTCATTGCAAAGTTATATTGTTCTATGGTACATTTTTCATGGAAGAGTAGAAATTTGGTCAAGCATGGTAATCAAGAATAGATTTTAAACTTTATAGCTTCCAATGCTATTAGTTTTGCATGAATTGCAAACGTTAATATGTTTGTGGACCACTGGGGTGCTAACCAGCTGGATCAGCTATCTTCTCTTTGGCACCCTCCACCCCCAGGATGGATTAAGGTAAACCTTGATGCTTATTTAAGAAGATCTAACAATGGTGGGATTGGTGGAGTTTTTAGAGATTCAAAAGGTAGATTCTTGCTAGCTTTTGGATTCAATTGTATTCATTGTGATATTGGATTATTGGAGTTGATTTCTTTTTTATCATTGAAAAAAATTATCATGGAATGGATGTTGGATGCAAAAGGGATTATTATTGAAGTCGATAATCACAACATCATCAATTATTTGCAAAAATCTGTGGATAAAGTAAACTGGAATGTACATAATAAAGATTATGAGGATTTATCATTCTTGGATGGCTTTGATAAAGTTTTATTTCATTTTGCAAATAGAAATTGTAATAAGTTAGCTGATTTTTGTGCTAACAATGCTTTAGTTGGTAATTTTTTTGGGAATATTTGAGCAGCAATAAGATTCCTCCTTTGTTTCTGAAATTGTTAAAGGAGG